ATTATATTGTAAATATTTATTTTAGACAGATAGCTAACAAAAACTTTATCTATATACCAATAATATAATATAATTTAGTTCACTAATATAAAAACCTAGAAATAAAAATAAGATTTGCACTGTTTCACGATCTTCAGCACTACATTGCACATTATAGCATATCAAATATCGAAAAAAATCGGCGTGTTGCCGGCCGGCGATAATCGAAATTTTGGACGATAAAGTGAATGGCAATGCGTAAGGGAACGACAATAAAATAAAATAATATTACTCGTAGATATTATGCGCTATGAATAATACGGGGATGGCGCGTTACGAACAATTTCATTTTTAATCCAATCTATTAAATCGCCGAAATCCTCTAGTCACTAAATTATCATCTGCCACAATCGCAGGTGATCTATCCGTACATTTATTAAATACGCGTAAAGCCTAAATATATTATTTTATCTTACCGACTTTATAACTACAATTAATTCTAAAAATAATTTAATAAGTCAATATACCTTTACTTGAACATACAATTATCTTACTTGGATTAGATACATACCTAGTTGGCTATGCTGTCTAAACTTATATAAAAATAATTTCTTACCTTCGTGTGGACCCACAGTAGCTTTTTTATAGAGTACATTCAACTGCTATCAAGTAACATTGAGTTATAGGTATACACTATACATACTCCTGAAACTATTTCGGATCTGTGTTTTGATGAATAGGAACCGTTGCCGTTGATTATTTAAAACTGCATTCATTGTTGATGTATGTTGAAGCTAAAACGGTGTTATGATTAACAATAAAAAGAACAAAAATAAATAAAGAAAGTTAACAATAATTGCAGACAACTTTTAGAAATTACAAATAAGAATAGTAGGTAGGTAATCAAAAAAACATAAATATTGAAAATAAAAACTGATGTCTATTATAGAAATGTTTTTCGAACTATATTGAAACAATAATAACTAATAAGAAACAAACAGTTTATTGATTCCTTATATTTATTGAAAGAAAATGAATAGGTAACTAACGTAATTCAGCCAGCATATTTTATTTACATTTATTACAAATTACAATATAAAATATGAATAAATAGTTTTCGTTATATATTTACTGGCTATTATATTTGTAGCCAACACAATAGTAAAAAATAATACTATTATACGGAATACCTGACCTTCACCAATTATAAAATACATGTGGATGACAGTATGACACTGGTGATTTAATCAAAATTAAAAAAATTCTATACTTTTTTATATTTACATTATTGTGAAATCAATAAATTCATAGCTCTGCCTAGAATTTAATAAGTTTCTATTAATTATTTAATAATCGATGATATGGAATAAATAATTGTAATTTTTTAATTATTATTATAATTTTACATATCTATGTTCAGTGGCGAAACGAACCTAAAATAACCCGTAAGTAAACTAAAATTTACACACCCACCCACTCATTTACCAACTAGGTATACATATCTTATACTTAAAATATTTTTTTTCAATTAATGTTTTTACCAATAAAATTATGTAGGTAAATTTATGTACTGTTCATATTATTGTATATTATTATTATTATTATTTTTGCTGAAAAAACTAAAGAAAGTAAAATATAATGATGAAATAATTACATTTTATAAGACTAAGAAGTTTCTTTATTCGTATAATAGTATAAGTATATTTTATTAACATATTTTAACAGTAACCTAGATAGTAACACAGTAATATTATATCAACTAAAAACAAAGTTAAAAATATGAAATTAATTATTTATACGCATTAACTGTTTATTTAAAACACCTGAAGTCATAGCAAACTTATCTATGGTATAATATATGAATTTATTCATTAGTTCTATTAATGCCGTCTGTCGTTACTGCCAATTGTCATAACTCATAACTCACGATACACCTATTTATACACATAAATTGTAATAAATACTAGTATTAGTGGTACTGATATTTAGTTATTGTTTGTCACTTTCATATTGGCACCCACACACCCCTAAATCTAAAAAAAAAAATCGAAAAGCAACCGCTTCTCAAACACCACGTTCGTTTCGCCACTGCCTATATGTTTGTATTTTATTCGAAACCGAAAGTTTCTAGCATCTCTTCTCCCATAAACAACTCTAAGTAAGGATTTAGTCCTGCTGACAATCGCATGTATTCGACTACGGTCTACGAGTGAATAATAAAGTATACTTATTACTTATTAGTTTATTACTCATAAAATTCCATCAACTCTTTTAAACAATTATTATCATTAAAAGTTAAGAGTGTTAAGACATAACACTAACATCATATTATAATATTGTCTTCTTAGAATCTTAGATAATTATATGTATATATAAACGGCACAGTGGAAGCAACCAGGGCTGGATTAGATTGGCGAGTTACCGAGTAAGACTAGGTGGGCCACTTTAAATATGGGCTGGGTAATGAGAGTTGGTCATAATTTTTTTTCTTCTTATGCATGCCAATGACAAATTAGTACAAATATCGGTAGAAAATATAAGTGAACCTAATTATTAAACCGTACGGCAACTGTATAGTTGTAAGTTGTAACCAAACGTTAAAAGTCTTACAACGCGGTATAGACCGACACCATTGCTAATCCGGCGTTGGAAGCAACGGGTTTTTACTATCTAGTTTAATCTATTAAACATTAAATTATTAAAAAAAATCAAAATAATGTACTCGTATTATTCGAATCAATACGTCTATCGATTTTAATGGCGTATGACGCCTGTTATTAACATATAATGTAACGCATTATTTTAAGTTATTAATGTACCTCTATGTGGTTGTGTAAGAGCATACATGTGTAGTACCTATATGTAAGTACACAACGGCCATTGTTACCGCAGTCCGCAGGGTTAACAGAGAGTTTTGCTTTGGAGAATAAACATATTTTTAGGAGCTCGTATCACTGTTATACTGACAAGAATTGTATAATTTCTAATATTTTAAGGGTAAACATAATATTTTGTGTCCACTTTCATTATGCCACTGATTATAGTACAAGTGACTTTTCGCATTAAAATTATGTATCATTCGATCAAAATTAAACATTCTTATTTTAAATTCAATATTTTTTTTTAATTACTCATGTCATTGTACACATTTATAAAAACTAATTAAAAAATATCGAAAACACATTTTCAAGATTAGTGAAAACACTATTTGTTACACCCATGTGCACGCTATGAAGTAGGTACCTACCTAGATGTTAGAATAAGTAATTCATTTATCTGTTATTAAATAAATTATTTAAAAATATTCAATTTAGTTTTGCCAGCCTTGGTGAATATTATACTTTACAATATTTTATCATTTATTAAATTATTAATATTCACTTACAGTATCATTTTTTGGTATGAATGGATTCATGGTAATAAAAGCTTAAAATTAGGTAGTTTAAATGTATTGAAAATTGCATAGTTGATCGATGATTGTTGCAAGTGGGAGTATTAATACAATTATTATTTTTTATTCCTTGTTTTAATATTCTCTACTCAATCACTTACATTTAGTAATAGTGGATACCTATCAAATTTAATATAAGTATTTGTTTCTAAAGACTTCAACTAAGAAGCATAGTAGAAATCACTGTTTGTTATTTATATCATGGGTTATGGCAAAAATAGTATTTATAGAATAAAAATTTTACAGTAAGTTAAATGTAATACATTTTTATAAGTTAATAGTTTATTACCCCACTCACTCATCATTAATTTACTGTCTTACAGATCCGATCACTAGAGATCTACCAACGATATTGATTGTCTTCAAAAAAACAGTGTTTACCATACTATAGCTGATGTGATATGGATCACTTCACATTTTTAATTGTATAAGTTACATTAAGAGAACACAAAATATCAGTTATTTACCCTCTATTTAAGAGGTTTAGTATAGGTAATTTTAATAACATTTTGAGAAAAATTACTAAGTTTAATCTTAAATATAAATATTTAAACACTAATTCAAAGTATTTTAAAAGTGGTCCCATGTCTATTCTTTAAATAGTTGTTATAAGGAGGTTATATAAATAATAGTTTTAAACAGGACAACTTATGTGTACATTATTTACAGAAGACTTACTAAATTTTTATACTGAATACTTGAATAGAAATAAAAATAATAAATAATTATTACTTTTAAGTTAACAAAAAAATAAAAATATTACGATATGTGTACATTTCTACTAGATGAGTATATATGAAAATAAATTATTAAGACTATTATGATTATTATTTTAGTGTTCTCTCCAAGAATATATTTTTGGATAAATTACAAGAGGTAAAGCATCTGTTTAAATTTAAATTTTTCTTAAATTTTTATTAAAATTAGTTATATTAAACCCTTTAAAAAGTGTGTATTGTCTTGTTTTTGAAAAAAAGATAAATTAATTGATGAAAACTATGTTGTTAAGATACAAAAATTAATTACAAATTTAGTACCTATTGTAGTAGTACACTATTGCAATAATATATCGATGAATCTAAGATAGCTTTTTATTTTAAACTTTTAAATATTAAGACTTAAGATAAGATTTTAGTAGAACTCGCATCATATTTGTGGTGCATTTTACAATAATTTAACCTTAATATTTTTTAATAAAAAAATATTTTATGTAAACATATTTAAATCAAGTCTATAAAATTTAAAAAAAAACATAAAAGTGTATAAATTAAGAAGTACAACATTTTAAAGCTAGTTTCCAGATAAGTGACCAACTGGGAATTTCAGTCATATCTTAATCTTCAAGATAAATAGTATTTGGCTGTATTTCTTCTAATATATAAAAAAAAATGTTAGAGCATCTTTTAAATTTTTTAAAACAATGAGCGTTTGTTGTTAAATTAATGTAATATTTTCTGGTGTAAAAATAAATAAATAAATAAAATTACACAATTGGTTTGAGAAAACATTTATTATCACCATAATAGTATTTGTCAAGAAATTATAAATTTATGTTAAAAGAAAGATATTATAAACAATACTTGACCAAACACACAATATTGTTATTAATATATTATTGATAAAATGGCACGAATACAAATGACAAATATTTGGAAGTTGACAAGTAAAATATTTATCCATAACAATATTATCAACTATAAATTAGTTGAATAAATTAACACCATTTGACATTGTACCAATATGATAATGAGTAACACAAAACTAAGCGGGCAAGAGATCGAAATCGTCGCTGACTAGAACCATCGGCACATGCTCTTCATCAATATTGGGTTCTGAGCTATAGGTACATAATTGTAATTCCTTTAACTTCCATCCCCAGTCCATCTTTTGTACAGCGTGTAAACTTTCTGCCTCATTGTGATGTCTTAGTAACATTGATTCCTTTAATGATCATAAAATATGATTATAAAATCATTTATAAACAGTTATAATTTATGAAATTATTACTTTAATTTTTTCCCATTTGTCATCTACATCCTGTAGCCATGACAAAAAAAGACGACCATTGTAACGGGATCTTGCATGTCTATCTTTCTCTTCTTCTTGCTCAGGTGTCATAATGTTATATACTTCATCGTCCTTGAGAATAGTACATGCAGAAAATGGTAGAAGCTGATTAGCTAATGCACGAGCTGCACGCCCGTGAACCCTAAGTATCTCTTGTTCAACACTCAACACCAATTTTTCTTTTTCTACTATGTGCTAAACAAATCATAAAATTATGGTTGTTACTATATAAATATTATTGTATATATATATATTTTTTTTTTTTTTTAAATAAAGCCAACTGGACAAACCTGTACACGAAGTCTTTGTCTCTCCTTCTCTTGTTCAACAAACAGCTTTTTTAACTGTTCGTGTAAATTGGCTGGCGATGGGGTTTGTGTATTTACTACACGGCTATTAGAATTACCAGCCAAAACATATGTGCATCTGTTCATTAGATAATCTTTAAATCCAGATGGTGGTTTTGGTTGTACAGGAAACAAATTCTTACGTCTCTTATCAATCTACAAAAAATTAATAAAGTATAACAATAATGTATAAAAATAAAAACAGCAATTGAGAATATTATTATTTAACCAACTTACTTGTTTTCTAATGTTTAAAAACATTTGATAGCAATTGGTAACTGGAGCAGGTTCACTGGTTGTGCCGGACGGATTAGTTTCTACAGTAGTAACATTAGCAGCAGATGAAGTATCACTAGTTTCGGATTCAGTACGGCTAGCTTTTAATTTGCGTCGTCTAGGATGTAGCTCTATGCCTGACAGTTCAGCAGTTGCAGTAGATTCAGACGTTGTAGTTGCAGTAGCTGCAGCAGTAGTAGTTGCCTGTTTGTCATCTCCAGAAACGACTGTTGATACATTTTCAGTCTTTTCTGAATGTGTAGCAGACGGTGAAGGGTTACTTGATCCTGCATCTACTGTGACAGCAGCTGGTGATGTAGTTTGAGCCAACTGTTCATCAGGAACAATTGGAGAAGTACCACGACTTGGTGCACCGCTACTGTTACTGCCGCATCTATTAGACGACCGTAATACTCTAGTTTGTGGAGACTTTTGCTCTTCTACAACTATTGTATCAGAAGTTGCTTTCTGAGGAGACTTAGGTGAGTTAGGCTGATTTGATGCCGGTGGTGATTCTTCAGATGGTACAACATATGGTAATGCTGTATGATGATGTGATCGATTACCATTCTTGCCATTTGTTCTTGTACCTGTATCTGCATCAGTAGTAGGTATCACAATTTTTAATGGGGGTACTTTAGGGCCACCTCCAGGACTGTCAGCATTAGAAGGTCCGGAACCACCAGATTTGTCCTCATCACTATCAGGTTTAGGACTAGAAGCCTCATTTTTACCTAAAAAAAATATATATTAATAATTTTCATCTAATAAAATAGGGATCAGAGTTAAATTAAATACTGTTTTTTTAGTTTTGGGTTCCAAAAATCAATAGTTTAATCTAATGCAACAATAACATATTAAATCACATTATATATTATATTATAAATAATTAAATCCAAATACCCATATCTTTCTAGATCTGAAACATCTTTTAAGATTTCTAAATACCTTCTACAAATCAATAAATACTACATAGTATTGTATACTTATTCATTATTTTAATTTAAAGCACTATATTATGTTCAAAATATAATACATTTTATTATGGAAAATATGATAATGATAGTTACTAAAGATCAGATTTGTATTTGCTTTTTTTTTCTTTAGCTCAAAATTTCTATAATTTGTTTTATTTAACTTTTTTTTTAATTTGTTCAGCACTTATCTACTGTAAAAAATTGAATTGACACTATTTAAAACATAATGTAATTTTTAATTTTGTTTTCTATAGCTATTTATATATTAATTTATAAAAAAATTGTATGATATATATTCATCAATATAGCTTAAAATTACATTTAATTTAATTTAAAATAAATTATTATGATATAAACAATTTTAGGTTTATACATAGAAGTACATACAATTTATACAATTTACTGATCTTAGTACTATTTTTTAATTTCAATACCAACTAAAACCATTTTCAGTTTTAAGTAAAATGATGAATCTTTAAGTTCTAATTTATTATAAGAAATTTACAGATTCTCTGTTTAACAAAATATTGTTTGATAATTTTGAAAGATTAAAAGTTAAATATTAAATTAAAATATCATTTTAAACCAATTGATAGTAATCATAAACATAGAAAGTGACTCATTAAATCATATTAAACTCAAAACATATAAGTCACCTTTAGAACTTTGGCTATCTTCTTTGCGTTTTTTTGGTTTAACTTCTTCGTCTTCTTCAGCTAAAGGTCGTTTTAAGTTATCTGCTTCTTTTGATGGCTTTACAGTTGATTCGTTTAACGAACTATTTACAGTATCTGTTGCTTCACTTGAGCCACCATCCTTAGATTCAGTTTCTTTAGAAGTACTAGCTGATGTACTTTCTGCTGGTGCACTAGTCGATACATTTGTAGTTGATTGAGAAATCGACTGATTGGGTGTTTCTGGTTTTTCTTCAGTCTCAACAGTTTTTCTATAAGTTAAAAGATTTTTTATACAAAATGTTGTATTGTGTTGTGTACTTGTGTATGATAAAAACAAAAAAAAAATTTTTTTTAGTATAATACTTACGAATCATTCGTCATGCTGGCGTTCTGTTCCTCAGCTATTTTCTTGTTTTTCTCATCCTGTCGAGCAGACGAACTCTTAAACTGATTATTACCCGTGTTGGTAAGTCTTAATGTCACTCTAGGTGATGCATGCTGCTGTTTATCACTGTTCGCAGCATCTAAAATAAAATAAACTATTATTAACAACAGGTACAAAAATTAAAAACATTTTTCAATAATTTTTTAATAATTATTTAAAATACATGTGATATATATATATTATATAAACAACTTAGTATTTACCATAAATTAAAAACCAAAATATTTAATTAGTCTGGAATAAAATACTCTTAGTTGAAACCTATTCAATAATTTTTCTACAGAAAAACTGATAAAATATATTGAATAATGAAATACTGAATCAAGCAATTTGATAAAACAAAAGTATACAAATTTGATAAGAGACTAATGATATACTGAGACCAATAAAATACTAATAAAAATAATAATTTTACCACAAAATAATACATAAATTTATGTAGACTCTAGCAAGTTTAAACAAAAATTTTCAAATTATACACAAGACATACCTTTTTAGGTATTACTAATTAGAGGTTGTACAATTATTTAATCTAAAAATAATAATAAAATCAAGTGGAAAAAATGTAAAACATATTGTTTCATTCAAAATATCACAAAAATGTAGGTACCAACTATAATATATTATACTTTAATAAACAAATGATAATTAGTCATGAATAAAAAAAAAAAATCATAAAAATCTATATTGAAACTTGAAAGTAAATTATTAATTCATCTCAAATAGCATTTATGCATGAGTAAAATATATTTTCCAAATCCCAACTAGAACACATAACATATTTATTTTTTTTCATTATTCTCCTTGTTTGCTTGTACAATTTATAAATCTTGATTACAGAAATTATTATTATCATTACCATCAAAATAAATACCAAACAAAAATAAAATGAAAAAGAGTTGCTATCTATCTACTTGGTACCTACGAAGTAGGTCAACTAAAAAACTTGTGCTCGATAAAATGGTATAAACAAAACAATGTGAGCTAAACGAAAATCACAATCAGAAATCAGAATGCATTGCATTGTTGTTTTGTAAAAAAAAAAAAAGTTTATGTGATACAAATCTTGACACAATACATTACATGAACATAAAATTTGATGAAGACATTAGAAACTAAAAATATGTTAAATTAATATTATTTAATTAGACATAAATACGAAAACAATGTTAAAAATGAATATATAAATAATATCCAATAAGTACTCGCATATTGTGAAGCTGAGATTTTGTAAGTGTTACTAAAAATTACATTTCACTGTAAAATAGGTTAAATAATTATAGATTCTTAGATTCCGACAAATTATTCGATATTCCTGGCTTTACGAACGGTAACAAATGTTGAAATGCCCAATTTTATTATACTATATACCTGTAATTACTTATCATATTATTACTGATGCCCGCCATACGCACTAAAAACCTTACTTAGATATGATATTTATCACTGATATAATGATATAATAATGGTGGCTACTAAGTAGGGATATTGACAACGGTTGGCAAGTTTTGTGTTTCAAAACAATAATATAATATTATTATTTATGTATCATGTACACACTCTAATCTAAAACGACTTGGGTAAGTTCAGGGAAGTGTGCAACGTCCACATTATGTCGTGATGAACACAACGAATGAGTTTCGTATTTGTAGTTTTTTCAATAAGTTAGATTCGGTAGGTATAGAGTATAGACGACCGTAAATTACTGTGATTTTTGGAACTGAAAATTCTTAGATATCGGTAACCAGTACTCTCTATTCACCCTTTACAATGATTATTATGATTGACGGACAAGAAGAAAAATTACAAACGCCGCTAACCCCGTTCGTTTATCAACCGGCGGCTTTCTCCGCAGTCCGTCGTATAACTTCCTCCTCCTCCTACTAATGTAACGCTTGCAGCCGGCTGCCATTTTCTCGTAAGTCTCGCACTGCGCTTTGCCGGATTCACAGACCTCATGGTGACCGTCGTCTTGGAGGCGAAACGCGTTGATAAACAACCGAACGGAACGATTTCTGGGCCGACAAGACACGGTCCATCGGAGCAAAAAAAGGGACGCAATTGTCGACCGTCGGCCGAAGACGCGCACGGTGCTGCCGGCAGGGGGTATGGAGACCGACAATGGCGACAATAAGTTATATTATCGTGAAAAGTGTTGGACAGGCTATTAAAATAGCACGTTATATAATCACACTTTGACGTTTTAAATGTGAAGAATGACGATACAGAGTGCATCAGACACACAGTGATCGTAATGTCAGGCGACGATCGGCCTAAGTTTTCGGGATGCCCGAGTCGTAGCGCGTAGATATTTTCCAATTTCCCGTCTCCGAGGCCCACGAACGGCACCACGGACACAATGACACATTATCGAAACTATACGAGCACAATACCCTCGTATAATAAATTATTATTATATTGTGTAACGTGTAGCTGATTATAGTGCAGACCTGATGGGCGGCCGGTAGAAAATATTTTTTTATTTTATTTTTTGAACAAAATACACATTGTATTTGGACGACGTTTGTTTTGGGACGAGCGGAGAGAAGAAAAACAAAACGACCACGACAAAAACGTTGTCGGGTGGACAAAACGATCACGCTGTATACGCCACTCGACCAAAACACGCGCGCACAAAAGGCGGTTGAGAAACGTGACAACGTCGCTTTGACAAATCGAAATATTCTGCCCCCACCCCCGGGTTAAAACCGTTGAGCACCGCGCGTACAACCACTACCACCCGCTGACGTACACGTACGACGCGCGGCGCGAACACGGCTCTTTTGTGTGTCAGCAGCATGTGTGTGCGTACTGCGTGTGATCCGTTTTTGAGACCGTTTCCAAATCGCGGGCACACACACCTTAACCACGTGAAAAGAGCAAAAAATGCATCGACCGAGGGGTCGGGCGGACGGTGTGGGGGTAGGTGGAGGAGGAGGAGGCGTACAACAAAAGCATCGGCAGGCATAGTGCTGCAAACGTCGGATTCATAATAATAATAATAATAATAATATCATCGTTGTCATCGTAAATATTATTGTAGGTATATTAAAAGAGAAAAATCGAGCTCTGACCTCAGCCGCGGTGGCGGCGACGACACGAACGCGACTCGCTGCTCGCACTGTCGCATCGGCGGGCGGGGGATAAAGCCCCGAGACGGTGGATTTCGGAAGGCTAAAAACTCGAAAAACAATGCGAGACGGACCTCCGGACGACGGCGTCGTCTCTCAAAAACGGGCTCGGAGTGAAACACCACGGTTGTTACCCCGGATAGACGAAAACACGACACGGCGACGATAACTCGCGCGGACCTGGACACGACGCACGATCGTTGTAGCGATAAGCCGATGGTTGTACCCGGACGCGTTCGCCGACACTGGCGACTGGCGAGGCGCGTCTCCTCGTGGTCCGCTTGCGGTGCAGAGCCGCCGAACGTACGCCGCGTCGAGTTCGGCGACGGCGTTCAAGGTCGCGGCGGCAACGTCTACAATTATTATATGACGTTGTAATATACCTGTGCAGTGTACGAACACTCGACGACGACGACGACGTTCACCGTCGTGTTTTATCCTATACATCATCTGTACGCGAGTATGGACATATCAATTTATACGGACCAAAGAGCGCCGCGCGTAAGCGCATCGACCTTGGGCGTTTCGAAGTGAGCGGCGAAATTTACGAACCAGCATTTTTTTTTCCCCTCTTAACCCGTCGTGCAAACCGCCCAAACACGCGACGGTTTACAAGCGACCGTAAGGAAAAAGGCCCGCCGAGTAGGGCGTTCCCCGAAAGAGTCTCCATCCGTCCGATGCGGAGACTTGCCGCGGTATCGACTTTCGTTCGAGAGAAATTCGGCGGGATGCGTCTAGTCCAGCGGGTGGGTTCGGGGAAGTCTTAAATATTAGCTTTGCGCCTATGTGTACCTACTCTTTTGTGTGATAGGGGGGTTTTTTTCCCTCCCGCGGTGATCTTTTTCGAATTACCTGCTTTACAGCAAAAACGCTTTTGTATATAAACCTGTAAGGTCGGAAATTGTATTTTAAAATGGTTTTTTTTGATTATTTCCAGTGTACGTATACGATTAATAATTTTTATATGAACGCGATAAAATAGAAAACGCTTCAAAATTAATCGTGCTATTTGAATGCGATGATCTGTTATTGTCGCTTTTAATTAAATGCATGTAAAAACATTACACCGTCACTATACTATATTATATAACATTCCGGTGGTTCAGTCTTCAGCATCATTTCCTGGTTTTCGGCTTTTCGTCATATTTTGTAATAATGTTATTGTCAGTGTATATTTAAAATTTTATTTTTAACTAGCTATATTCATATAAATTATAAATTTTCAACTAGAACATCCTTAGAAACGTATTTCTGAGTGCTTATCAGATAAAATGTCTATAAAGGTAGATCGTAGATATTACATTATAAAACACTTTTCTGTTAATAATTGCTGGTCCATTAAAAGACAATTCAAAGATTACTTGATCAAAAACTTAGGGAAATTAAGGTCATTATCATATTTATTTAAACTCGAAGAATACACAATGATCATTAATAACTGACCGTTTAGTTTACGTATCAGAACTATAAGCAAACTAACATAACATCGATATCTGCAGTTTTACAATTTTTTTTTATTTTACGATTAATTTGAATGAAAATCTTTATAATTTTAAGAAAGTAAATGTTCATGATGTTATTGAAATAAGAGAACAACTATAGTATATATGTTTTCCACTAGAAAAATACTATATAATAAAGCATGCTGAAACAAAATTATTTTTTAAGCTATAATTTATTATTTAATAACTAATGTTTAAAATATAAATATTTTTAATAAAAATTTATAAAAGTGGTGCAAATTTTTTTTTAATTTACACTTTATTATAATTTATTGTTATATTTTCCATATCAATAAAATAAACAAATTTATTATTAGTCATTAGGAGAGACTATAACAATTCACAGCTAATTATAGATAATATCAATGATGAATCATCAAAAGGTCTAATTTATCATATCTACTAGTAGATACAGTGATCACAACTTGTGTAAAAATTTTGAAATACTTAAATGTTTATAAAAATGAAAAATCATCAAGTTAATAAAGATTTGATAAACTTAATTTTAGTTATTAAGTGAAACGATGAATTTATTGGTAATGAGTAATAAGTAATAACTAATAACTAATGACGAATATTAATTATTTTTTTTATTGAAAAAATTCAATATTTTATAATATTTTTCTTCTAGAAATGTTGAAAAAAAATTTTCTTGGCCTAAAAAGTTTGAAATTAATACAAGGTACGTCATTCGTTATTCGTATAGCAATTTAAAAATATAGAAAGAACATTAAAAAATATTAGTATTTAAAGTTTAACATTTTGACAAAGTTGAAAGTTTTAATTAAAAATAAAGATTTTGTAATTTTGTTGCAATTTAAAAAAATGTTAAACGTAGATTAGAAACTTTTAGCCATCACGTTTATTATTATTTATATTTACACTTCCGTTCTTTGATACGCTGGTAAAGGGTTAAGACATATAAATTAATAACAATTTCTATTAAATAAAAATATACTATAATTTTAATTTTAGTGAATAGTATTGCTATGGTAATTAAAAAGAAATTATTACAATTAGGTATGTATAAGGATAATTGAAATTTTTATTTTTCATTTTTCATTTTTTATTAATTTATTTTATAATATTTTCTTTGATAAAATCTAGGACTAGGAGAGTAGGTGAATGAAGAGTGCACGGACGCAAAACTCATTAGAATGATATAATATTATGGTAAAACGATTATTAATTAATAAAATATGCAATGGTTTTGGAAAAAATAAATTGAATCTCTACTATATTACTAATAGGAAAATAAATATTAATAGTAATATAAGTAAATTAAAAAATATGCTTAGAAACAGAGGCAATGCTCAGAATCAGTACACTTTGTATGCAATAAATAATGTTAATCATTTATTATTGAATTCAAATTTAACACATATTATTTAGGTTATGGCAAATGGCAATAATAATAATCAATGACAATGTACGCTCGAAACCTACTAATGTAATGCTACAGCAGTTCCCCGATTTTTTAATTTGAAATATTTAATACTAATATTGGGAAATTATACGGGTTTATAATTTATAATTGTATTATATGTATTTATATTAATACATTTCGTTGATAACGTAGAAGTGTATATTGTATAACAGTGTTTCTCAACCAGGGGGTCGCGATCACCTTGACTAGGAGTCACGTAAGTCAAAAATAATAAAACACTAATTTATAAAATTTACTTTTTTATTTAAAACTTTTTATTGAACAAAAAAAATACTTAAAATAATAATAATAAATTTAGCCTAATAAAGATAAATATCAATAAATTAATCGTTTCATAACACATAAAATAATAAGCAGTCGATTAAAATTAGATATCTCATCAATAAAACGGGTACTCCACCACTAATGGAATTCCTAACGATCTGAGATATACCGTTTAAACTTAACAAGTTTAAATTACTAGACATAGTATTTATAAATTTATATTTAAAATAATATATTTCGTTTGGTTAATGGTAAGATATTTTAATTGCTCAAATTTGTACTCAATATAGATGATGAGAGGGGGAGTCACGAAGCGATTGACCATATTTTATACCCATTTTGGGGGTCGTGACACTAAAAAGATTGAAAAACGATGCTGTATAACACAATTATTAAACAAATCAAATATAATCAGTGAATAATTGCAATGCAATACACTACCTACTTTATTATGATTTATGGTATCCAAAATTAACAATAGAAACATTCAAACATGGTTAAACGAGTCATAAATTTACCTATAAGGTACCTAATAAAATAATTTTACTTTTGACCTACAGATTAATAGATTATTTTGTAACAAAATTGTGAAAAAATATGTTGCACAAAACATAAAACATTAGAATATCATTATTGTCAATATAATAAGGAAGTTTAAAAGAAAAACGATTCGTATTAATCACATTCAATAAGCATTAATTTGTATTATCGACATATATTTTAACTATAGCATTATACGATATACTATGAAATAACTTAAATAACTTGATTTATTTTAGTATCTAAATAACTTAATTTATTTGTCATTATTAATATATTATAATACTTTTAATATATATTATTACGTATCACAATAGATTTTAATTGTTGTATGATAATTTTTTAAATGATAAAAGTATAGTTAGGAAATTATAAATATATAAAATATATTAATGATAAAATAAAAATATAAAAGGTAAGCGTGGGTACCGTTCTGCTGTATATTAGGTGTCAAGTAGAACTCGTTATTGGGCGAACCACAACAATACATTTTGTTAAATTATAATTCAATAATATACCA